TATATCTAAAGGTGCAGATAGTTGTATAAAAAGAACCATATTAACCGATTTCGCTTGAGTAATTTGAATTCAAACTAAAAATAACCGAAAAAACTAAAAATAAGATTTGATTCAGATTATATTTCAATGTATAGTAGCTTAAAAATATTCAATTAATTATATAAAGACAAAAAAAAATATATAACACTAAATATTATCAGTTTATAAAATATAAAATTTAGCATATCCATAGACGTGCAAACCAATCTCTAGTTAATCTATTAAACCGACAGACTCTGTTACTTAGTGTAGTTTATGTTGTCGAAACAAATGTAGATAATTTGAAGTGTTTAAAATGAACGAAATTCTATCATTTATTAAACTTAATGGTATATAAAACTGTATAAATGGTAATGAAAATGTAATAGCTAGTTTCAAACTAGAATAACTAATCTTAAAGTAAAGTAAAAGTAGAGCAATTAGACATTTATATTTTTCTAAATTTTATACATAGAAAATTAAATTTATTTTTCATTTTAAATTTATGAACAGTAATAAAATCACAAATTTATCTATTAAATTAGACTTTAGAAATTAAATAATATTTATTTTTGATAATTCAGTTACCATTCCTTATATGTTTCTTAATAAGTGTTAAATTAACACTTTGCATACTAATTAAGAAAATTGGTTATACCTTTAATAATTGTAATTAATAATAACTATAAAAAATTAATAATGACAATCAAGATTAAAATAGGAAAATTTTGATAGAAGGTACATTGAATGTTGAGAATAACACTTTTCCTACAACAAGAAATAAATGTTCAATTGACAGTTTTTATGACTCGGAGGGAGTAATATAATTCAACAATTCATTTGGTTATTGTTATATATATATATATTTTTTGACATCGAAAGCTCCATATCTTATTAAGAAACTACCAAAAGGTTGGTCTCAAGAGCCATCTAGCTTGGAAGCTGAGAGTTTACATGAGAAAAGGAGAGGTCACGAGTCCGAGCTCCCTTTGCAAGCGATTGGCTCGGAAGTTCAGAGAGCGGGGGATATAATATATTGAGAAAAAGTAAACATAGAACGCATAAGATGAAACTCATCAAATTCAGCCAATAAAGGTGGCCATTTGTCTTCTTCGTCTTCTTCAAGTAGCTTGACCAGTTGTAGGCAATCCGTCTTGAAAGTCATTGTACAATGGTCCAACTGAATAGAAGATTTCATTGCCCACAGAAGATTTTGGAACTCCGCGTGTAGGGGGTTAAGACTCAGTTACTAGCAAATGAACCATAAGTCGTCATCCCATCCTCGTTAGTTAGGACCATTCCTCCGCCGAAAAATGTCATCTTTGTGCCAGGAGGCGACTATTGTGCAGTTGGGGCCAGAGGTTTGAGATGCTGGGGTCGGGGGAGCCTCCTCGATTGCGTCTTCATGCGGCTGCCCGTCGATCTGAGCTGTAAACCAGCTCTCCGCTTCCGCTTGAGCGATTTGGACAGTCTCTAAAGGGGGAGATGTCCTTGCCGTTAAAATCCTTGTCGTTGCGGGCTTTCCAGATGTACCATATAAGCCATGGTACCCTTGCACTAATAGTACCTGAATTGAATAGTCTTTTGCACGCCATATGACATGGTCCAGGTTACTATATCGAGCTACACGAGAATAAGCCCAAAGAGTGCGGTATGTCCGCAAGAGCCCAAGCTTGGACAGATGGTGGGAACTCGAATATCAAGTGATTGCGTGTTTCTTCCTCCACACCGGATCTCGGACAGTGTCGATCAACTCCGCAGTGACGATCAGCAAGCGAGCTGCAAACCGGGAGATGGTTCGAGATCGTCTACCAAATAAAATGCTGATCTTTTTTGTAGTCTTGATCTTCCAGACTTTAGCTTGAAGCGCCTTGAGGCTGGGCTCAAGAGTCTGGTTCGTGTCTGGATACTCTGATAATTCCCCTGCCAGGGCGTATTCATTTTTTACCGAGCATACGCCAGTTGTTGTGTGGATCCAGAAGTAACTGATGGCACGGAGAGAGCTCGTCAGCTTTAAGCTGCGAATGAAAGGAATGTCATTGGGGGTGACCAGTTCTTGTAGGAGTTCGAGGTTCCAATCCTTTGAAGTTGGATTGATCAAATCGCTAACTCGTAGCAGGGGGTTGAAAGAAGCGCCGCTAGGTATTGCGGGTCTGGTGTCGTCGGGATCCATGGGTCGACCCAGACTAGCATGTTTTGTCCGGCTCCAATTGATTTTTCCAGGCCTGCATTTAAGAGAGTTTGGGCAGCCATGAGGCTTCGCCATACATAAGAGGGGTTGCTCGCCTTGTTTACATCTATCGGATTTGAATTCCTAAAATATCTACCTTTAAGGACATGAGCCAAAAGGGAGTTTGGATACTAGATGAGTCTCCAGAGCTGTTTCGCAAGCAATGCGAGATTAAAATATTTGAAATCTCAAAAACCGAGGCCACCTTGATCTTTTGGGGTGCAGATTTTTTCCCATGCGGAGTCCACGGTTATTATCTTTGGTGCTCCACCAGATGCGAGATATTGCGCTTGTGAGTTTCCGAATTATTTCTTGGGGGAGCAGGAAGCAGAACATAGCATATGTCGGGAGAGCTTGTGCAAATAATTTGATCAGAACTTCTTTGCCACCTTTGGAGAGAAATTTCACAGACCATGAGTTTATGCGGTTCTGCAGTCGTTCTTCAATGAAAGCGAAGGCTTGCTTTTTGCTACCACAGATTTTCTTGGGTAAGTTGAGGTATACTCCCATGCCTCTTTCTTTTGCAATTCCCAAATTTTGTTTGATTTCTGTTTTTAAGTCTGACGGTACCTTGTTACCAAACAGAATGGAGGACTTATGTACGTTTAGTTGCTGCCCCGAGGAGAAACCATATGTATTAATGATCTTCATGAGCTCCGTACATTGCTCGACTTCTGCTCTACAGAAGAGAAGACTATCGTCCGCAAACAGGAGATGGGAGATAGGAGGGCTTCCTCTTGCGATCTTTAGACATGTGATCCGGCCTTCCCTCTCAGCACCTTGGATTTGGGAGATAAGGTTTTCCATGAGAAGGATAAAGAGGACGGGAGAGAGTGGGTCGCCCTGTCTAATGCCTCGCGATGGGGAATACTGCATTTCGGTTCACCATTGAGAAGTACTTGATAGGATACCGAGGAGATGCAGATTTTTATCCAAGCTACCCATTTGGACAAGAAGTCCAGTTTCAGAAGAAGTGTTTCGAGGAAAGACCATTCAACACGATCAAAGGCATTGCTCATGTATGTCTTAATGGCAACGAATTTAGACTTGGGTTGGTTCTCAAGGTGTGAAAAACCTCGTGTAACACCAGAATGTTGCCCGTGATCAGGCGTCTAGCTACAAAGGCTGATTGAGTATACGATATTAAGCTGGACAGACAGCGCTTAAGACGTTTACTCAAGATTTTGGAGATGGTCTTATAGCTTACATTGCATAGGCTTATAGGCCGGGAGTTGGTCATTTCCCTGGGATGTTTGGTTTTTGGGATAAGGCATATGTTTGTCTGGTTCAGTCGGGGATCTAAAACATTGTACTGGAAAAAATCCTTGACTGTTTGCTTCATCACTTCTGCTGTGATACCCCAATACTTTTGGAAGAAGAGATTTTTCATTCCATCCAGACCAGAAGTTTTTTCTGGATTTATATCAAAACGGCTTGACGGATCTTATCTTTTGATGAAGGTTTTGTTAAAGCTTCGTTCATGGCCGGGGTGACCTTCTCACATATGTATTTTAGGGACTCTGCGAAATCCGAGGGGGCCGGCGAAGTAAAGAGAGTCTGAAAATAACCTGTTGCCACTTCCTCGATATCATCTTCGGTTTCTTCCCATAGACCACTCTCCTTGCGAAGCTTTGTTACTCTATTTCTGGCTCTCCGCTGTTTTGTCAAATTTAAAAGGTGACCGAAATACAAAATTCTTTTGCCTTGTTTCTTAATGGATAGGAAACATGTAAGAATTGGCCGGTGATCACTGCCCCAGAGACGCAGATACTCCACATTCAAGTGGGAGAAGCATTGGTGCCAGTCCTCGTTTCCCACTGCTCAGTCTAACTTGCATTGAACTTTTCCAAGGCTCTATTACCGACCCTTGAGAGAGGATTTCTTGTGTAAGGGAAATCAATCATCCCGCAATTTTCCAGCATGCATTTGAAAGGGAGGAATGATGAGTCTGGACGTTTTCTACCTCTTTTTCTCCAAATTGCTTGTTATCTCATTAAAATCTCCTAGCATCAACCATGCTCCTGACCTTGTTAAGCTCAAACGGGTAATGCGTTCTCATACATTATCTCGGTACTCTACGACTGGATCACCATATACAAAAGTAATGAAGACTTTGTGCCCTTCAATGGTGGCTTCAATATCGATCATACGATTATTAGAAAAAGGGACGGTAACATCAAAAGAATCTAAATAAAAAAGTGCTAGTCCACTGCTTTTTCCATCTAGTTCCATGGTGAACAATTTATTATAACCAAACTCAAACTGAAAATCCTGAAGAAAAGAAGAATTGTTTTTTTGTTTCTGAAAAAAAAAGAAAAAAAGGAAAAAAAACAGCGATGCAATTTCCGAAGATGTTGCTTTGTCAGATAGGCTCCAGCTCCTTGACAAAACGTATATTAATCGATTACGTTTTAATAAAATTTACCAAATTCCCTAACTCATCATTTATTAGTAGTTGTAACTCAAGTATTCATGAAATCAAATGCATTATTTTTCAAGTTCTAATTTTCTAAAACCAGATTACTATGTGTGGTAAACTAATCATACAACAACAGCAAGCAAAGATAAGAAAGATATAGATATAAACCCTTTATGAGAAATAATCATATGGAAATTGTTTTGTGCAAGCAAAATTTCTTACCAAATATAAATAAGTAAACGTAAATTCTCGTTGGTTCGAGTTTTTTCCTTGTTTTTTTTGTTCTTTTGATGTTCTTGGAACACACTGTTACGTCTGTTTTTCCTTTTGTAGTGCAAACTTAAAAATTTTAACTATTTCCAAGTAACAAAGATTTTCTTTTTTAAGTGTTGAGGAACAAAATCACGGAAAGGAATTAGAACGCAAGTTGGCTTCAAACATCTAAAAAATTGCACCAAACAAAAAACAAAAAAAACAAAAGAGCCTAAAATGACATAAAGAGTTAGACAAGATTGCGATATTTAAGAACATCGATCTTATTGAGATGAAATAATTTGCAAATCTCTACTATGGTCTCCTCATCAAGCCCTTCCTCGTTGGCTTCACGAAGTAGCTGGTTAAACTCTTCTGATGGCAGCCAAACCTGTTTCATGAAAAACAAAGACAAAAATAAGAAAAAAGAAAAAAGCATTTGAGTTATTCTTGTTGAGTAAAACAGCTTACACATGTGGGAGATTGAGGCTTCTTGTTGTTGTTATTGCTTTCATCTGCATCATCAGTTTGGTTTGGGAGGAGCTTAAGCAGCTGCTCGCTTCCCTGCAACATCAAAGGTGATCTTGAGTCTCTATAAAACCTTTATGATAATGGGAGCATGTACTGGGAAGTGAGACATCACAGACCTGAAGAGCTCGCCAGTGGGAATATGTACGGAATAAAACCCAGAAGAATGGTATGTTTGGTAATGGCAATACCTAAATTGAACAAATCAACAAAGGCTTCGCTGGTTATGAAGACTTTGAAAGAAACTAAACCGAGTTGGTGAGGTGTTAAATGTACATACCATAAATGCACTTGTCAATGGAAGCAAAGTAACTGAGCCAATCAGGTACTTCTTGTGCAGGATTGTTCCACTAAAGATCCAATCAGAAGAATGAGAGATTCTCCACCCAAAATCAGTCAAAAGACAATGTGCAAACGGTAAAACACTTACCTCACAGCAATATGGCGCAGTCTCCTGCGTACAAGTCTAGGATCTAAACTGAAACATTTGACATGGATTAGCTAAAAAACGTAAACAATAATCCGAATTCACCAGAGCATACTGAAGAAGGAGAGGGAGAGAATAGAACCTAGGAGGATAAGAGACTTGGATGGAAGTGACCTCCTTAGATATAGACTTCAAGAAAATCTCAGACGGCTTAACACGAGCCAGAAGCTTCAGTCCTAACCTACACATCCACAACCACAGTTCAAAACATTAAGCATATCAAAACACAGAACAAAGCCAAAGCCTCAATACGAAAAGTAGACAAATTTACAAACCCATGAATCTTGTTCTTAACTGATCCTTCAGGCGCTTTCTCAAGACCCGTCCACGCTTTGTTCATCTAATCATCACAACAACAACTCATCAAACTGATGAGAAACTATCATTTTCTTGTTTTTTTTTGTTTCTTTTGATCAGAAACAAAACAAAAGCTTATTGGTCACAAACTTGTCTACACTAATAGATACATAAACCTCACTACGCGTCACATAAACACACGGGTGTGTTGTCTATATATATATATAGAAAGACAAAGAGTTTCAAAGTGTAAACCTTGTCAGAGATGAAATCGACAAGAAGCTCTGCGTTGGCATTGATGGGCTTCGACTCAGATGACAACTTCTTCCATAAACCTCGCACAGTAGTCGGAGTGACACCGGACGGAGTCTGAGAAGCGAAAGGATCAACGGATCTGCTAAAACACCACTTCCTCCCTTTGATCGGGAACACCACCAATCTCGCTCTCATGATCACACCTTTTGAGAAAGCTCCGATCTTTAGTGAGATTCTGTCAATCTTTCATCTGGGGAAAACGACGTGGCTTTTTTTCTTTCTTTTTTTTGGTATATTCAAAGGCAAGATCGAAGCTTTAAAGATAATTATCGACCGACTAAACCGAGTCGAAGAAGCGGCAGCGCGTCTCCTGGATATATATAGTAACACAAAAGGTTCAATAAATGGAACATATATATAGACACAGATATATCATGTGTATGTGTAACCATTGTCTACTTGAGTTGAGAATATGGATCAGTATTGATTTGATAATGACATGCTATAAGCAATTAACAAAGGGTTAGTGTTTAGTATTAAATCACTAGTTATTTGGATAAGTAGAGAGTCAATTAGAAACTCACACATCACTCAGAAACTTCCATAACAATCTCAGGTGAGTTACAGATAAGTATGGGTTTATTATATATATATGATGAGAACTCACAAGACGTGAGCTTTTGTTCCAAATTTATTCATGATCGGCTAACAAAACTAGGCTGCTTATTTTGACACTAAAGCAGTTCACCAGTCTCTTCTGAGTCTGAGGATATCCTTTGTAAAAGTAGAACTTGAGGTACCAATAAACACGAGCTGAAGATGTTACATGTGAGTCCCCTTTACAACAATGCATCCCATTTCTCAGCTGAAGCACGAGCTGGTTGTTTCACCGGGTCCGGGGGGGACAATCTTTCCATTTAGGATCAACAGTGATTGTAGCAGACCAGTTTCGCTTTCAGCTGCATCAGTAAGTAAGTAGAGACGAGTGATTCATTCACCAGCTTGAGGAATAGAGTAAAACAACTTGGTTTCTTGTGATTAGTAAAACAAGGAGAAAGCTACATAGCCATTTATAATATAAGCAGAGGTTGACCAAACACCACACTATAAAAGACACACAAAAGCTTTCACAGTTACTTAAAAAAAATGTCAAATACGGTAAAGAAGAGAAGCTACTACGAATGATTAAAACTTTGTTATGCTGATACTTTATCCACAAATGATTAAGTTGGTCAATGGAAGTTTCCTAAACTAAGTAGATTTGTAGCCCCACTGATCCGTTCACAAAAGCATAGCTACATTCTAAATGGTACCGTATTATCATCATCAATTATATACTTTAGTTGATAATAAAAAGTACTTACTGTCAGTGACCACTCCAGCAGAGAATTTAGAGAGTAAAATCAAACAATGTTAGTGAGACTGAACTTGAAACTCCATCTTAAAAGTGATCGGAGACTCTTCACTTCGCACGGAGCTGGAAGACAGAGCAATCACTTTCACGAAAACGGTCGATTCGAGGATCTGATTCTTCGTGAGGATTTCGGTGATCGCCTGCCTTCATCATCAGGCGATGACGATGAATAAGACGAAGAATCTCTCTCCATTAGTGACGCGTCGCAGTCGTTGCCGGAGATCAACCCGGAACCGCCGACCGGTATAGTAAACTTACCCAAAATCCGACCCGGCTCGCAGTACATTTTAAAAATTGTCAGTGATACGACGCCGTTTGAAGTTAAGGATAAAATAGAGAAGTGATACGGGTCGGGTTACTGTTAGCATAACAGAACAACCCGGATACATTAGGTGGCCGTTATCCCTCCCATCACAAAACTAAACGTCGACGTGTGTGTCTTAACGCAAGTTAAGGCCCATTAGCCCGATCTTGTATGATACGGGTCGGGTTTTTAAGACAAACGCCGGGTCTCGTTATCCACCGTCTCCTGGTTGCTGCGTCAAAGCTAGACAGTAATAAGTGTATCCTCGTTGAAGTTTGCTATTTGTGTGGGTGTGGCTTATCCTTCTTGTCTGTCTGCAAAACCCTCGCTTCTATTTTTCAGTAGAGAGGAACATAAATCTCATACCAATTTATTGTTGCTGCGTTGTAATCTTACAATACATTCTGGTCGTGTCGCAAAAAAAAAAAGAAGAAGAGTTCCTCCTTCTGTTGTTTTTCCTGAGCTGAATGAGTTCCCAAATGCCTTCTTTAGGTACCTTTTCTGGTAAAATCTCAATTTTTATACGGTGATGAATATTACTATATAGAATTCCACTTTAGTGTTGTTGTTGAGAGATTCTTTCTTCTCCAGTGTTGTTTCTTGTCTATTGGGTATCTTTTTTTTCATTGCATTTGCAGTATTCGGTCTGAACAATGTTTAAAATTGTTTTTAACATATTCATAGTTGCAGTTGCTTGGTTTGGTATGATTAAAAGTCTGTCGTTTTACATAGTGTTTTCCTCAGTTTCTTAGCTCCTGGAGATGGCTCTTTCGTTTGATCTCTTACATTTCTGTGAAGAGCATCAATGTATATTTTCTCTTTTGACATGCTTGATCTTGCAGATGTTGCTACTGTCCAACCTTCCTTCCAAGCTCATCTTGTTCCACTGGGTGCTCAGAGTGCTAACCATGCTAAAACCCTGCCTAATCCATGGAGACAATCCAGTTTCTCTAAGAGTTTGAAATTTTACACGGGGCATCTTCATGTACGAAGATGCAGAGTCTTTATCACTGCAGTGGCCACTGTTGAAACCAAATATCCTGCTCAGAAAGAACACGAACAAAGCTTTTCCCTGTCTTCTTCTGATGCTTCAGAACACTCTAGAGGTCTAAATGGAAGTTCTGATGATGGAGAAGAGGTGGATGACAGAGAAAGGTTGAGAAGGATGAGGATCTCCAAAGCTAATAGGGGGAACACTCCTTGGAACAAAGGCAGGAAGCATAGTCCTGGTGGGCAGTTTCTGCTTTGAAATATCCTCTGCAATCTATCTGAACTTGCTTATTAGTTGGTAAACATTATAATAATCGGTTTTTCTTTTGCGTTTATGTAGAGACCTTACAGAAGATTAGAGAAAGGACAAAGATTGCAATGCAAAACCCAAAGGTGATGTCATGTAAGAATGTTCATATATGTCTTCTTAGAGGAGTTGGCCCTAGTAAACCCTAGTGGGACGTGTATCCATATTAATTGTTGGTGCACACAAAATACATATTCTACCATTAGGACGTTTAGGTTTGTTATATGCATCAGATTCTCTCAATCCTCATAGAACCTTTTGTGCCTTCTTACATTTGCAGATCAAGATGAAGTTAGCCAACCTCGGACACGCCCAAAAGTCAGTACTGGGTTTTTCTTATGCTTTTTCTTTTTGTGTTTATCATAATGTTATCTTCTCAAGTTCTCATGATATTTTACAGCGAGGAGACACGGTTGAAGATTGGGGAGGGAGTGCGGAAGCGATGGGCAAGGCTGAAGGAGATGAGAAAAGTGCAAGAGACATGTCTTTTCGAGTGGCAAAACTTTTTAGCAGAAGCTGCTAAAAAAGGATACACAGACGAACAAGAGTTTGAGTGGGATTCTTACAAGATCATGGATCAGCAGAATCAACTGGAATGGCTGGAAAGTGTAGAGCAGAGGAAAGCCGTTAGAGGAGCTAAAAGCAATAGAAGAGCACCAAAATCTCCAGAACAAAGAAGGAAAATTGCAGAAGCAATAGCTGCTAAATGGGCTGATCCAGTAAGTAGATTTGATCAACCAACTTGTGTTGATGTTTTATTCTTACATTAACTCGGTTTGGTTTCGTTTCTCTGGTCAGTCTTACCGTGAAAGGGTATGCTCTGGCTTGGCAAAGTATCACGGTATACCTGAAGGTGGCGAGAGGCAACGTAGAAGACCAAGTGGGAATGCAGAGCCTAGAAAGAAGAACCCTGCAATTAAAACTGCAAGGGAACCAGAGGCCGAAAGGCAAATCAAAGTTAAAGTGGTGAAAGTACGGAAGCGTAAGACACCTGTGTATAAAGATCCTTTGGCGAGTTCTAAACTGGAAATGATAAAAAGCATCAGAGCAAAAAGAGTTGCGGAAGAATCTAAGAAGATGGATGCTGTGGAACAAGCAAGGTTAGTCATTAAGACAAAACTGTTAACATATCTCTGTTTGAAATTGTAACAAAGATTCTACTGCTCAGGCTTTTGATCAAGGAAGCTGAGAAAGCTGCGAAAGTACTTGAGATTGCTGCTAGGACAAGCTCTGTTGCTCAAGCATCTTTGTTAGAGAGTAAAAAGCTCATAGCAGAAGCAACACAGCTGATTGAGTCTATAGAAATGAGGCAGGTAGCTTCAGGGGAGGATGAGACTTCACCTCAGCCTAGTAATAGTCTTCTTGATCTAGACACTGAATCCGAGACCGAAGACACAACTGATCAAGAACAACCAGGAGATGTTAACGGAACATACACTTTCACCATCAACGGAGAGAGCCTTCACTTGAACATGAAGCCTAGCGAGTTGCTCACATTCAACATTGAAGGTACTACAAAACAGCCAAACGGAAACAGAGTCCATCCACCACCAGAGTCTAATGGAGCTATCAAGCTTACTGAGAGTCCCCATCTTCCAAATGGTATGAGCGAGTACCACGGAATGGAGGAAAAGGCTGAGTCTTCGGAGGCAGGAAATGTAACCAAAAAGTGGGTTCGTGGGAGGCTCGTAGAAGTCACAGAAACAGCATAAACTTGTCTTATCAACTTGTTGTAGCAATTTAGCAGAGAAAAAAATCATCCTATTGTTCAGCTAACGGTTCAAAGTTTTGGTTTCTTTGGCTTCATTATGCTTGAGAGAAGCAGTATCCAGTTTGAGATATGTACCAATTATATTTTTTTGGTCAAACAAGATTTTATAGATAGCTAGTCTCCATTAAAGGAGTACTTTACAAAAGATGACACAAAGCCATAGTGGCTACCAAATTTACTGCAGCAAAAACTAAGGATTGAAGCAATCATTACACATAAACAACTAAGGGTCTGACTGGTTGAAACGCGGCGGTTGCGATTGCAGTTGCGGGAGTTTGCGGATGTGGGTGGTTGCGGTTTCTAGCGTTATTAGGCGATTTGTACGACTGGTACAGTGATTAAAAACTGGTGCGTTTGCGGGACATTTATGACTGGTTGATTATGAGATACTACAGCGGTTCAATAATAAATTTCCAATATTAACATATTATAACATTATAAAAATATCAAAATATAC